GGGGGGGGGGAGGTGTCAGGTTATCAGTTATACTCTAACTAAAATTCATCTACATTGTTGTGTCACCTCTAGCAGCTGTCTTTGCATTTTACGTTTTTTTATTATATTAAGACTGGCAATTGTTTCTTATCAATGTTATTTCAAGTGTCAGCAAATGGGGCAGGAGGAAGCTGAAGGGGGGTGGTCGGCTGGCTCCTGAGCCATTCCATCTTAACAGTCTCCTTTGCTCAACCCTTGCCTTTCTATTCCCTGCCAGGAGCTCTGGGACACAGAATGAAAAAGCCTTCTGGGCACTGGGATGAGCAAAAATATAAGATACATATTTGAAAATGAAAATGGAATTGCTACATCAAAGGTTAAGTACCATTTTACATTTTCCACCTATTGCCAAACTGCCTTTCTAAAAAATCTTATCTATTCACATTCCTAACAGCAGTGTGGGAGAGTGTTCTCCCACCTCCTGACCGAAAAAAAAATATTTTTTGCCCAAATCTCATAATTTAAAAATGGTACCTTGACATATTGATTCGTATCTTCAATTAGAGGTGAAATTGAGCATCTTTTCATAAAGCTTGTTGACTGTGTTTTCTTTTCTATGAACTCCTTGCTCATGTCCTTTGTCCATTACTCTATTTGGTCATCTTTTACATATTGATTTGTAAGAGTTGTTATGTTAAGGAAATTAACCCTTTGACATATTTGTCACAAAATGTTTTTCCAATTATTTTCCGTGACTAATGGTATTTTTTCTATACAGAAATTAAAATTTTTGCTGTAAAAATTATCAGTGTTATATTTTATGGCTTTTGGGTCTTATGTCATTCATAGATTTTTAACTAGAAAAAGGACACAATCAGATTTGCACATAAAAAAGAACACTGCTGTGTGGAAAATGGATTGGAAGGGGGCATCATGGAACAAGAGAAGCCAAGAGACCAATTATGAGGCTGTTTCAATAGTGAGATGACGGTAGCTGGGGGAGGGTTGGGGTGGGGGAAGGATGTGCAGTAAAGATAAGTGAACTGATGTTTGGTTGGATATGTACTGAGGGAGAAATTCCTACCCTTGGATTCCAGAAGAAACTTGTGGAATCCCTGTAAAAAATTATTTTTGCTTAAGCTGGCTGGAATTGGTTTCCACCACTCTTATGCAAAGAGCCTTAACAAATATATCCACCAAAACTGCATGAAAAAAAATCAATGTGTTACTCTTGACCAAGGCGTTTTAACAAATTTTCTAATAATTTGGAGGAAGATCACCCAGAATGCACAGTATTTTAATTTAAACCTACAAAATCCAAAGCAGATCTAGAGAGAATATTTTTTTGTTTTATTTTTCTTTTCATTTAAAAATTTTCTTTCTTTGTTTTTTAAGAGAGAACATTTTTAAAAATTTTTATTTATTTATTTTGGCTGTGTTGGGTCTTTGCTGCTGCACATGGGCTTTCTTTAGTTGTGGCGAGCGGGGGCTACTCTTCATTGCAGTGCACGGGCTTCTCACTGCAGTGGCTTCTCTTGTTGCAGGGCATGGGCTCTAGGCGTGCGGGCTCAGTAGTTGTGGCTCGCGGGCTCTAGAGTGCGGGCTTCAGTAGTTGTGGCGCACAGGCTCAGTTGCTCCGCGGCATGTGGGATCTTCCCGGACCAGGCCTCGAACCCGTGTCCCTTGCATTGGCAGGCGGACTCTTAACCACTGCGCCACCAGGGAAGCCCCAAGAGAGAACATTTTTCAGTGATGTCAGAAACGGTGGCCAAGGCTGCTCCCTTGGCTTCTCCCACGTTAGGTCACGTTCTCCTGAACACCAGGAGCTGCTGCTCAAGGACGTGAGGGTTCTGGGGGTCATACAACACTGATTATTACTCACATAGACGCTTCTCCTTTTGCAAGGGGTCCGGTATCAAATCCTCTGTTTCCCCAAAAGAGCCACTCAACAGGTATCGAGGATTATTCTTCCCAACATGCTGGTGCGTAGCAGTTTGGTAAACTGCCCCTCTCAGCTAAGAATAGGCAGTTTACTGAAACGTGCTGGAAGGCTAGTTCATCACCTCCAACATGTAGGTCAACACCCAAACCACTACTACTAGCAAACCTTCTTCTAGTCACCACCTGCCACCACAGGCCTTTACAATGAGTACAACCCATTTTCCAAAGAGTTTTCACATTCCAATTTATGTGAACTAAACATCATTTTCTCCATTTCATGCTGAGGAGAAGACTTGAGAAGCAGTATGGTAAAGTGGAAAATTGGGAGGCAGCTATATGACCAAGTGAAGGCAAGTACTCAGAGTGAAAGTGCAGCACTCAGAGTGGGAGCTGCTTTGTCCTGAGGGCTCTGCTGAATCTGGTGAGCTGGAAATTCAGTTTTCAACAAATTACAAAATGAAATAGTTAATAAGAAAGTCTAACAAGGTTGATAGAAATAAAATCAATATAAAAACCTACATTTTAGGGGTTTCCCTGGTGGCGCAGTGGTTGAGAGTCCGCCTGCCGATGCAGGGGACGTGGGTTCGTGACCCGGTCCGGGAGGATCCCACATGCCGTGGAACGGCTGGGCCTGTGAGCCATGGCCGCTAAGCCTGCGTGTCCGGAGCCTGCGCTCCGCAACGAGAGAGGCCACAACAGTGAGAGGCCCACGTACCACAAAAAAACAAACAAAAAAAGCCCTACATTTTATTTCTAAATACCAGGAGCAAAGTTAGAAGATCAAAATTTAAAAAGATATCACTTATAATAGCATACAAATATGCAGTTCTATGAAAAAAATTATAAATCTTATTGGGAGGCATTAAGGAGGACCTAAGTAAATTAGAGAATTAGACTATACTAATAGATGGGAGAACCTGGCATTGGGAAATTCTCATTTCTTGTCAAATTTGATCTATAGATTCAATGTAATCCCATATATTATTTTAAGCATCACAAGCCAATTCTAAAATTATATAAAAAGGTAAGAATAGCCAAGACACTTTTGAAGAACGACAATATGGGAGGACATGTCTTTCCAGATATCAAGACTGTTTTAATGCCATGTGGTGTCATTAAGAAAGGGTGGTGTTGGTGCAAGGACAGACAAACAAACCCTTGTATAAATGGACACGCAACAGAGGTAACACAGCATATCAGTAGGGAAAGGAAGTTCTTTCACTAATGGTGGTGCTGGAAAAATTCATCAGTTTATCCAAGCACAACTCTCTCAGTTGATCAAACAATTTACTTCATGAACCCAGGAAAGGTGATGCTAGATAAGAATGAGATATTACCTTTAAAGTAGCCATAGTACTGGAGGTGATGGTACATAAAGTCTTCATAGGCCTCAGGAAGAGTCTGTGAAACGAGAGGCCATCTCAATCAAGAAAGTGCTTTCATAATTGTAGAGAATTATTATAACAGCCTGTTACAAGAATAATACTGACTCTTAACAAAAATACACAAGCATTGTTTTTACTATACCTGAGAACTTCTGTAAACAAACCATGTGAAAGACATTTGTGCAAATTATTCTATCTTTGGGATCAAGATCTCCAGCCAGCAAAAGATGCCACCAGAATATACCTTCGGATCTAGTATTGGATTTCTGTGGAATGCCTGGAGAGGAGTGTGTACCGACCTGCTGCTTTAGCTCTGTTTCCAAAGCTGGGAACATGTTACTTCTGCATGGTATGCTTAAGACCCGTCAGTGACACCGGCATCCAGCAACAATCCCTGACCAATTTCCAAAAGGGCAGTTGATTACATAGGAGAAGCTAAAAAACCAGAGCAGAACAAGTGAAAAACTGTAGAAATTCACCCACGTCCCCTCCCTCCGCTTCGCAGCTCCCACGCTACTTTAGGAAACCCTGCGGTACCGCTCCGTCTTCCCTGCCAACCCAACCTCTCCTCAGATAAACAAGGACCCGCCACGAGGCCCGATGCGCACCTGAAGAATCTGGGAGAGCGCCTTGTCTTCCAGCCTCCTCCTCCGGTAGCGCCAGGACCCCTGCTGGCCCCATGCTTCTTTCCCCCCCAGTGAGGGAGATGTCCCCCACCAGGTCGCCTCAGGAAAGTGAAAGAAAAGGGGATGAGGGGTCCGGTGCAGTCGTCTCGGGGTGGGTGGAAAAGAAAGGTCAAGAGCCCGGAGAGTGGGCTCTGAAAACGGAATTCAGGGATTCAGGGCTTCCTGGTCAGGCAGAAAGTGGCGAAGGTCAGTTTCCCGGAGAGTCGCGGGACGGGGCGTAGAGATCTCCTACGACTGCAGAGGGAAGGTTGCTACCGCCTCCGCGCCCCGGCCCGTCCGGGGCAGCAGGGGTGCGTACGGAGCCTGTGGCGACAGAGGAGCGTGAGCGAGGCGGGGGACACGGTCCGCAGGTAGAGAACCAGTCGCGCACCGACCACAAGACACTCTCGTCACGCTCACGGGACACTGCTTTCCTCTAGGGCTCCAGTTGCCTAGCAACCACGAGACGGAAGCAGGAGGGCGAGCCGGATGGGCGCTTCCGGAGAGCGAGGCTCCGCCTCCGAGGAAGGGATGGGGAACAGGAGAAAAGTCGAAGACTGGCGTTCAGGTACCAAGGATTCACATTCCTCCTTTCCTACAGTATTGCAGCCTGGCTTCTGGGGATTAGAAATTGCATTGATGGGGACTTCCCTGGTGGTCCAGTGTTTGAGACTCCGTGCTTACACTGCAGGAGATACGGATTCGATCGCTGGTTAGGGAACTAAGATCCCGTATGCTCCGTGGCCGGGCCCAAAACAACAAAAAAGCAGCTGTTCCTCAGCTTTAGGAAACTGTTTATTGCTCAAACGGAGCCGCTTTCCCTCTTTCACCTTCTCTCCATCCCAAAGCTAGAACTGATAAATTACCTCCTACATTGAAAACATACTAGTAAATTAAAACCACACATTTTGACTATCAAATTGTCAGATTCTAAAAAACGCTCCTTTCTGGCAGGAGAGGGACAAAGGCGCTTCGTCCCTGTACCAATTCCCAGAAGTCTGGAAAACTGTTTGGCACTTAAAGCAAAAGCTTTAATGGCTAGTTGACAGCCTCTATTTCCAGAAATATGCTCTATGCAAATTACAAGAAAAACAATTTGATTTTTTAAAATTTCACGGTATTTTTAAGAATTTGATTTTTTAAAATTTATTTTTATCTTTCCTGCATTGGGTCTTTGCTGCAGCATGCGGTCTTTTTCTAGCTGCAGCGAGCGGGGGCCGCTCCCCGTTGCAGTTGCGTGGGCTTCCCACTGCAGTGGCCTCCACCCTGGGAGCATGGGCTCCAAGCACGAGGGCTCAGTAGTTGTGGCTCGCAGGCTCTAAGAGCACAGGCTCAGCAGCTGTGGTGCACGGGCTTAGCTGCTCTGCAGCATGTGGGATCCTCCCAGACCAGGGATCAAACCCGTGTCCCCTGCATTGGGGAGGTGGATTCTTAACCAATGCGTCACCAGGGAAGCCCAGAAAAACAATTTATATACAAAATGGTCACCGAAATACATAACGGTAAAAAACCAACACACAAGCATACATGACACTGATTAGACAATTATATGCATATAAATATACTAGAATAAAATTCTAACTATTGTTGTCTTTGGTTAACTTTACATGACTCTAAGTATACATAACTTTTGTAATTAGTGGAAAAAATATAAAGCACCTTTATTTTTTTCACAATATTAACCACATTACATCATTTCCAGGATTTAAGTAGGCCGAACACTAGCTAATATTACAGACTACAAGCTCCAAAATTTAAGTCACACCCTCTGGTACTAGAGGCTTGTTTTTCTAACCCCGTCCTCGCACCCCGCAATGGGCTCAAGATCCTGATGCTTTTGTTTCCTGGAGCTGTTCTTCAATGTTTGCACATACCTTACACTATAGTTGATTAGAAAAAACAACTGACTTAAAGTCAGTCTTGGTTACGTAATCGTGGAGTTAACAGGCAAAACAGGAGCAAAAGAATAATCAATCAGAAGTATAAAAAAAGCTTTATTAGTGCATATATACAAATTTACAAGGTCAGAAACTGGAGAAATACAAACAGCTTTAAAACACAATTTGCTTTTTCTTCAGTTTAAAGTGACTTTTACCTGATTGTGATACAATAGAAAGTACAGAACAGTAAATTGCTTTTTAAATACTGGAATTTTATGGAGAATACATTCACACATAAATGGAAGGTGAATTTTGGACCAAGGTAAGACAATGGAGACACATCAGTACATACAGTGGCTTTTGTTACATTTACTGCCACATACGTGAGGAGGAAATTCTCAAAATCAAAGACGCAAACACCTGCTGCTGCTGCCACCTATACTGTAATTTAAATATGCCACCTAGTATGTGAAATGACTGAGCTATCTTTATCAGTTCTAGAATTTGTGAGAAAGAATACTCTGAAGAGTGTGGCCATCTGTTAGCACAAGGTGAATGACTTGATGTATCTCAGCACTTCAGGGGTGGCAGACTAGAGGAAGAGGTCAGAAAGAGATTCCTATAATCCCAGTTAAGCAAGGCAAAATATAGAGCTGCTTTCTTAATTGCACTTGTTCTGAAGAAGTTAATGAGAGAGAGAGCGCCACACTAGGAACTACAAGAGCCTCTATGAGGCAGGAAAATCCTTCACTGTTCTTTAGTGAGTCCTCTTACAGAGGTGTCATACGCATGAACCACATGTTCCAGACTGATGAGGTTAATGTACCTAACATGCTGAGTTTGCCAGTGTGAGAATAAAGGCAGCCAGGTCAGAGCATTCAGTCACCTCACCTTTCAGCAAAACAGAAAAATTACATTTCACAAACGTGGCAATTTTGTTCGTGTATACTCTTGCCCAGGAAATTCATATGCTCTCCCTCATGACATTTATAGTTTATTGACAACAGTAAGACTGGTTAAGACTTGGAAATGATTAAAAAAACAAAAAAAAAAACAGTAATAAAAATTTTAAAAACTATGTGTTTGGAGCCATTTTTCTTCTCTTCAGTCTTGCTCGCCAATCTTCAGGAAGGGCTTCAAAATTAGCATTTCTCTCTGCCATGCCACTGTGAAAACAACGTACAGATTAAATTACTTCACTGGAAAGTAAAAGAACGAAAGTGTTTATTTCCTAGCAAATAAAAGCTAACTGAAACCGAAAATGTGATATATTTTATCTATGTTCATGAAAATGTTTCAAGTTTCTCAGCTAAGTACCAGCGTTGTTCTTCATCAAATTTCTTAATTGATAGGTCAACCAAACACATACAAAGCACTCTTCTCTATAGTTTTATTTATATGTAAGTGCATATTTGTTTTTATATCTCCCCAGCAACCACTGAAGCCATACAGAAGGAAAATAACACGTTCTTGTAAAAGTATTTCTTGGCCCCTAGGAGTTATGATTCTTTATCTTAGATATATTTAACACATAGGAAGATATATTTAACTCTTAACATACCATCAGGGACCGTTGGACCTAACGTTTTTGAGACTCTCTTTTGATCAGTTCTAATTAGGATTGATCTCTCATGGCTTATTCAATCATTTATAAAACCGATTAAGACTCAGATTCTAGGGAATGCCCTGGTGGTACAGTAGTTAGGACTACATGCTTTCACTAACGAGAGCCTGGCTTCAATCCCACAAGCTTCGCAGCACGGCAAAAAACAAACAAAAACTCAGGTTGTAACTTACAATTACCAGAATGGGTGCCTTAGACCCTTTTATAAATACAAAATGAGCTAAGATTAATTACAGAATCTTTGTGATTTCCGATCATCTTGAAATAGTTTGTTATTTCATCACTGTAGGAATTAATCATTAGTCAATTCCCAGCAATATTAAAAAAAGATTAAAATAGTAAGAAAGCTGAAGAATAATGGAATCATCTACAAGGATGATACAAAAGTTAAATAAATTATCACTAATACCATCCCTCAGTTTTCTTATTGTGTTGCCCAAAACAGTGCATCTCCTTTCCAGGAAGTAAAAAAGAAGTCTGGAGACAACATCTTCATAGTCTCCCCTACCGCTCCCCAATATTATACAATCAGATAAATGCAAGGAGACAGAGGCACTGTAGATTCTAACTGTGATGGTAAAATTGACTGGATAAGTAAAATCTCAGACTATGAGTGATAAGAGGACAATAATCTAGATGAATCTTCTCAAATTCAAGACTGATGAGTGAACATACTGAAGGAAAGCAACACATTCTTGTAAAAGTAAGGAAATGTAAGGTCAAAAAGGAAATACAGTATTCTCATTAAAAAGAACAACCTGGGACTTCCCTGGTGGTCCAGTGGTAAAGAATCCGCCTTACAATGCAGGGGATACGGGTTCGATCCCTGGTCAGGGAACTTAGATCCCACATGCTGTGTGGCAACTAAGCCCGAGCACCACAACTACTGAGCTCGTACACCTCAACTAGAGCCCGTACACCGCAAACTACAGAGCCCACGTGCTCTGGAACCCGTGTACCACAACTAGAGAAGAGAAAACGAGTATGCCCCAACTAGAGAGAAGCCCTCGTGCCACAACGAAAGATCCCACATGCCTCAACAAAGATCCTGTGTGCTGCAACTAAGACCCAACACAGCCAAAAATAAATAAAATAAATAAATAATAAATAAATCTGAACAACCTCCTTCATCCAATATTTTGTAACAAGAACTGGGACCATCGATCGCATTTTCCTTAGAAACCTTTCAGGTTTTATACTGCTACATGCTAAAATTTATTTGATAAGGTTCATAAGTGGGACAAATGCTGAAAGCAGGTGTGTAGTGGCTGGAGAGAAACAGATATTTTAGGAACAAAAAAAATTCACTGGAATGACTATTCCAATTAGTGTTTATGGATCTAAGAATGAAAATGTTTTGAATTATGAAGCAAAGATGGCTATCCTCTCCCTTTTTTTTTTTTTTTTTTGGCCACGCCGTGCAGGATCTTTCCCTGACCAGGGACTGAACCCGGGCCCCTCAGCAGTGAAAGCGCAGAGTCCTAACCACTGGACCGCCAGGGAACTCCCCCAAATATTTTCATAAGTACTGCATTTATGGAGGTTGCAAGTGCAAGAACCAGAAGTAATGATAAGCTAGAACCTATCAGAGATGAACCTGAAATCTGGCACCATTTATGAGAGGAGTATGTTCCAAGTTACGCATGACAACTGAGCAATTAGTTGCATTCAAAGAATGTTGCTCATTTCAATATGTGTACCTTCAAAAACCATGAAAATAAATAAAAATTTGAGTTAGCTATGTTTACATTCTTACTAAAATTTCTAATTAAGTTTTCTCCTCTTTATTTTTTATGTCTGTAAATTATTTATAAAATTTAAAAATATACATATAAAAGAGTCTCTTGGAGCTACATGGTAAACGGGGATGACTATTTTTCCCCATATGCTCAGGGTTAAGATAGCTCTTTGCCTAAGAGGAACAATCAGTGGGAAGTA